AGATTGTTGATGAATCTTCCACAAATCCTGCTGCCACACTTCTTCTCATACAGCCCAGCCTCCTGGATAATCTGTTCTGCATATAGATTGAAAAGGTAAGGAGATAGAACACATAAGTTAGTCTTCAATATTATTGCTACTTAATAATTTAGAAAGGTCCTTGACAGCAGATATTCCCAGTTCAACAAGTTTTTGAATTCTTGGCTATTGTTACAATGGATGTAAATTATGTATCCAATTAAAACGAAATTATTGGTAGCTTCAACCTTTTTCCATTTATACTGAAAAAGATTCGCTGACGTGAAACCATATCAGGAAATAGCATATGATGAAGAACCCGTGATGATAAAGAAGGAAGTTCAAGCTACACTGAAGGAACTGGCAAAAATAAAGCCTCAGGTATTGATATAATATTAATTTGCATACTCCAACAAGCAGATGCAGTCTTGAATATACTTATTAGACTATGCCAAGAAATCTGAAGATTTGGCCAAGTGACAGGAAAGATCCATATTTATTTCCATTAAAAAAACATGTGATGTAAATGAAACATGGAAATTATAGAACAATATTGTTAATGCCATTTAAATACAAAATCTTTTTGAAGATTGTTTTTAAAATTACTAGAGCAGTACATCAACAGAGGACTGCCAGAACTTAAAAATAGATTTAGAAGAAGATGGGAATCAGGCTTATTATTGTTGATGTCAGATTAATCTTGGCTGAATGGGGAGAATATGAGGATGTCTATCTGTATTTATTGATTATGCAAAGGAATTTGACTGTGTGGATCACAGTAAATTATGGTGAACAACGAGAAGAATGGGGTCCCAGAACTTAATTGTGCCTATGTAAAACCTATACTTAGACCAAGAGGTGGGTGTCTATGAGAGAAAACTGCTTGTTTAAAATCAAGAAAGGTGTGTATAATCGTTAAACCATTTCTCCATGCTTATTCACATCAAAATGCTGAGCAAATCACTTAGCAAGGCAGATTTTATGAAGTAGACTGTCATATAATAATTGGAATAGACTCTTCTACAGTCTGAATTACACCTCAGTATCAAGAAAACAAAACTCCTCACCACTAAACCAATAGAAATCTTCATAATAGAGAAAAGATTGAAATTTGTTTTACTTGGATACACATCTATATCCTTGTTACTAGCAGTTAGGAAATCAAAAGATACATCACAATGGGTAAATCTGCTGTTAAGGTTCTTTCCAAAGTGCTAAAGAGCGGTCTTAAAAATTAAGATGCCTCTCATACAGGCCACGATCTTTTCAATTACTTCTTATGCATCTGAAAGTTGAACAATGACTAAGGAGGACAGGGCAAATCAATGCCTTTAAGTTGTGGTATTAGAGAAGAGTACTGAATATTCCATGAATTGCCAAAAGAAAAAGCTAGTCTGTCTTGTAGAAAGTGTAGCCAGGGTGCTTCCTGGAGACAAGAACAGTAACACGTGGTCTATCTACTTTGGGCATGTTGTTAGGACAGAACAGTCCTTGGAGAAGATATGATGCTTGGAAAAGTAGAGGATTAGCATGAGGGAAGACATTCAACAAGTTGTGTTTGAATGGTGAGTGTAACAATGGGCCCAAGTATATAGGATGAAATGAGATAGGACAAAGTTCACATCTGTTGATTATAATGTTGCTGTAAGTTATAGTGGATTCAACAGCATTTAACAAAGACAATAACAATAATGATGTTACATATTATTTCAGGAATGAAGACTTATTTATGCAGACGTGTTATCCATATTGAAGACTGTAGCCTAATCTACTGCAGTAAATGCCTCAAGTCTTCTTCACTCTTTGCAAGAAAAATTGTGTCATTTGCATAATGTAGGTTGTTGATAAGTCTCCCTCCAATCCTGATGCAACTTTCTTCTTCAGATAGTCCAGTTTCCTAAATTTTTTACTCAGCATACAGATTGAATAGATATGGAGAAAGGACAAACCATGAAGCTCAGCTTTCCTGATTTTAAAACATGCAATATTCTCTTGTTCTGTTCTGACAACTGCTTTTTAGAGTTAAAGCCAATTTTGCACTATAAAAATAAATGTATGTGTTTTAGACGTGAGATAGGAACTTTCAGATATTGTTGGGGATTTTATAGCACCATAACTGAGCAGCTCATTGCACATTCACAAGAGAGTAGAAATTACAGGAGTTAATTAATGTACACTCGTGGATTACTGAGCAAAACAATATCTGTCTAACCTCAACAAATAGAGGGAATGCAGGAATTCTGAAAGATCCTTTTATTTCCAAGAGTGCTAGGAATTATGAAAGATCATTTTCTTTCCAAGAGTGCTGAAACAAAAATGAAAAATGAGAGATTCAGACCTCTAGAGGACACATAATATGCAGAACATGTGACATGGTAAAAGTGTTTACTTTGTCCTAGAATCTGAGGGATTGAGGTAACAAATATTTATGTTTGAAACCTTTGTAAACAATCATGAAATGATAACAGGCAAATATATTCATATTGACTTCAAGAGGATATAAATGATGTTCAATTCTTTAATTTCAAATGACAGTTTTGGAAACTTAATGTAGAAATTTTATTCTGCTTCATAAAACCAATAAAAATCACAAACACTTTGAGAGCGGTGGGTTTAGTTGCTTGTTACATGTATTTCATACTTAAAGGGTTAAAAAAACATAAATTGCAATGGAAAAGAATAAAATATCTGAATTATTGGCACATGATTATTTTGACAAATTTCAATATTTGATTTTCTGACTTCAATTTTTTTAATGAAACTGGGAATAATGGCAGGACAGACTGTCAAGTCATGGAATGGGAAGGTACATCAATTTAAAATTCTAGTTCAAAATGTCTATTCCCTATGTCTACTATTTCCTCAAATTTCTCAATACAATTAGGCGCATTATAAATGGAGAGTAAGATTATGCACAATATAAATTGTCCTATATAAAAGGACCAGAGGCTAATTATGAAGAAAACATTGCATTTTAGGAGTGGTTGCAATCTTATAACCTATACTTATTAGATTGTAGTTTTCATTAGTCCTCTTATAAAGCATATTTACTATAGCTCAACTAGCATCTTTCTGGCATTGTTTGGAGAGGCTATTCCTTGGAGAGGAACATCGTACTTGGAAAATTGGAGAGACAGTGAAAGAGAGAAAGACTCTCAAGCAGATGAATTGACACAGTGATGGTAGCAATCGGCTGAAGTATGTCAGAGATTGTGAAGATGGCACAGGATAGGACAGAGTTTATATTTGTTGTGCATAGGATTACTATGAGCTGTTTTGAACTCAACACCACCCAACAAGAAAAACAACAACAGCCATAATTACCGATTGAGTCACTTAATTAACTCTCTAGTATTCATTCAGGTAAATCCAAGAACCTTATCTTAGAAAACATAATAGCTTACCATTTTCTCTACAGTTGCAGAAGATTGTCTAAGTCCATATACCTGTCGTTTTCTCAGAAACTGGGGGAAAATAAGCAATGGTATACACATTTTTGTGCTGTAAGTTAAAAGCAAAGTATTGCTTTACTTTTGGTTAAATTCAAGTCACATTAAAATATTTTCTTCTATTCCTTTCAACTTTTATCACATTGATAGCTTAGTAGGTTGTTATAATGAATGATAACTTCATATTAGGTTGTTTCAATTTTTATATTAATAAAAATTTCATATTAAGTTTAGTGAACTGTGTTGCTATCGTTGTTGATTTCAGCTGTTATCTCTTGTTTAAAACAACTTTATGTACAGCAGACAGGACCCTTATCTGATCCTGAACCTGATCTCTGTTGTGCTTTAGCACATGTCTATTCTTTTATGGTAAGGAATTGTGCTGCCAACCTAAAAGCAGAGGATTGAAGTCCATCTGCTACTCTGTGGGTGTTCTCCTTCCATGAGGTTTGAAAATGAAGTGGACAGTCAGTTCCATCTCTATGGCACACAACAACAACAACATATCTTTTTATTAATTCACAAAGCTTTTAAATAATGATAGTGGCACTGTGTTTAAAGCATTATGTTATAACCAAAAGGTAGGAGACTTGTGTTGTTGTAGCATAATGTCGAGTGCAAACTGCCCCATAGCTCATGCTCTGGTGGGTTTTTCAGAGCCAGTTTATCATACAGGAGAAGATTGCCCATTCCCCTACCACAGAGTAGCTGGTGGGATTTGAAACACACGCATTTGCTATTACAGTATAGCTTGTATCTTCTTGTCACTAGGTCACCAGAGCTGCCTACTCACTAGCAATTGTGCTTCTGTAAAAAAAATTGTAATCTTGGAAACTTTATGGAGAAATTATATTCTGTCTTATAGGGCCAAAGGGAGTTACAATCATTTTGAGGGCAATGGTTTTAGGTGCTTTCTTCTTTGTCCTTCATATTGATGGGGAGGGGGAAGAATCTCGGTGGAGAAAATAAAAGCTATGACTTAAAAACAAAATTATTGTGTCAAATTTCACTTTTAATTTTTTTAATATTAAACCTTTTTTTCTATGCCTTGAATATTTTTCACAAAGATTCTTTTTCTTAAAAACTATTGCATAGACAGGCACAGATTGACGCAGAAATTTTCTTTAAACTTTCACAGAGTAAATTCTCTGAATTAGTCTTCTCAAAGCCCCCATCACTTCCCTGTTTCTGAGGCTATAGATTATAGGATTCAGCATGGGAGTGAGGACAGTATAGAAAATGGCCAAAACCTTGTCTTCTGATGGAGATCGAAAAGATTTTGGACGAAGATAAGTGTAAACAAATGGTGCATAGTAGAAAGTGACCACAGTGAGGTGAGTACTACAGGTGGAATAGGCCTTTCTCCTCCCTTCTGCTGAGGGCATGCGGTAGACAGCAAGGAGAACCCGGCCATAGGAACAAGTAATGCCAATGAAAGGAAGCAGGAGGAAAAAGGAAGTGCTCACAAACACTGTGTACTCATAGACCCACGTATCCATGCAAGCCAGAGTCAGCATGGCTGGAACATCACAGAAGAAATGATCAATGGCTCTGGATTTGCAATAGGGGATATGGAGTGCATATGTAGTATGGGCACAAGAATTGATTGCTCCCATTATCCAAGATCCTGTTATTAGGAGCAGACACACTTTTTTACTCATACGGATAGGATAATGAAGAGGAAAACAAATGGCTATATAGCGATCATAGGCCATAGATGTAAGGAGAAGACCTTCTGCACCTGCTAAAGTCAAAAAGAAGAAACTTTGGACTCCGCATTCAATGAAGGAGATTGACTTGTCTCCACTCAGGAAGTTGTAAGCCATTTTGGGGACAATAGTGGAGATGTAACTTAGGTCCATCAAGGAGAGCTGACTAAGTAGGATATACATGGGTATGTGGAGATGGGTGTCCAGGAAGATTAGGAGGATCATGGACAGGTTGCCAAATAGAGCTATCAGGAAAATGAGAATGATGATCACAAAGAGCAATAGACCAATTTTTGATGATGGAAACAGTCCTAATAATATGAAATCAGTTGTTCCATTATAATTTTCCATTAATTATGCATTGGTTTTCCTAAAAATAAGAGAAAAGAATGTGACAGGCAGGTAAGGAATAAGAAATTGTTTGCTTATTGCTGAATACTTTCTGAAATTAATTTAGTCTAAATATGAAATTTTGCATCTGATTAACTGAGTTATCAATTTCACTTTTAAAAATATTTTTACAAAAGTAATATTGCATTATACAATGACACAATGTAAGATGTCTTGCAGTTACATTCAAAATATATTGTAAAATATCCATGAACAAGTGAAAAATATTCCATTTTCCCGCGACTATTTTCATACGATAAATTTACTATTTTACATAAGTTCATATACACATAAGATGAAGTTTTGCTGTTAATCATAAGAAATTGAGTAGAAAATATATTCAACTGGATCATCGAATGAATAATATATAAATAAATTTAGTGGCATGTTGATTATTTATTGCTAATGTTGTAATTTCTAATGCTTGTTTATCTTCTAAGGCATATATTGTAACTCCAATACATTACTGGTTTATTTGTTTTAATTTAGAAACTGATATTAGTCCTTGAAGCTACTCTGTCAACATTGTGAATTTTAGCTTTTAATATTTAATATTTCTTTAAAAATAAATATAAAGTGACTATAATCAAGTAAAAAAATCAAAGTTTTTATTTTAAAGTCCTCTCTTGATCACTCTTTAACACTTTTCTAACTGAAAAACTGACTATTGAGTATAGTACAGATTCTAAAGTGCCTATTTTATTAACTATTATTTGCATCCTGTTTTTGTTAGGTGCCCTTGAATTGAATATGACTCAGTAACACTATAAACAATGCTCACCATCTCTGACATACTCAAGCCACAGTCACAGTCGCCTTGTCAACTTACCTGCTTGGGGTCTTCCTCTTTTTCACATATATATTCCCTTATTAAGCAATTTATTACTTGCTCAGATATTCTCAATTATCAGAGTATAATTCTTAAATGCTTTAAGGTCTCTCTTCTTGTTTTTCCTTCTACATCTCCCTGCTTACCTTTTAAAAATGTTCAAGGTATGTCAAATGTTTAAAAATATTTATATTATAGCAAATTTATATGTGAGTAGCTATTTTAAGGAATTTTTGAATAGTGAAATGGAAAAATATGCATATTTTGGATTAATTACCTATTATAATATTAAAAATGCACTTTTCTTTTTAGTTGGAGATAGACTGTTCATCAAAAAATTCTACAAATGTCAATTTTAGTCTACCACAATTCATGTCCTTAGGGGCTTTTCCTCTGTGCAGCAAAGTTCCTGACATAAGCCTTGAATCAGTTATTATTAAAGAGTATGCTTCTTTCTTTTACTTACTTATACAGAAACAGACATGGGGTGAAAAAAGTTAGCTTTTTTCCCTTACTCACCATGTCACTTTGGACAGAAAAATGCTTCTTTTGATTTTTTTCTCCCCTTTTAGTCCTGAAATAAATGCTAATACAAAATTCTCAAAGTTTTTGGGAGTTTAAAAATAATTACTCAAAGCAAAAAGAAGATCTAAAAAGGGAAAGTGATCATGAAAACACTCTCCTTCCTCTATAATTTCAATAAAACAGTGATAATGGAATTAAAATATTATTAGTTGTGATCTCAAGAGAAAGCAAAGATAAAAAATATAAAGAAAGAGAAGAAGGAGAATGGAAAGCAAGGGAGGAAGAGGAGAAAGGTGTTGTGCAAAACAGAAGGGGTAAATTTGTTTTCTTTCTTTGCTCTTCCCCCCCCCATTCATTTTTGCACAACAATGTGTTGTTTTCAAGAGAAAGATAGTACAGTTCAGTTTCATTAAAGTTTACAGCTTTTGAAATCCTAAAAGGCAATTCTACCTGGCCATCTTCACAGTGTCTGTTGTGTTTAAAATAATTTCACTAAGGATTTTTCTTTTTTAAAATGAATATCCACTTTCCCAAACATTATGTTTTTCTCCATAGACCCCTTATGAAGCACACCCAAGACATTTGAGACGTTTCACCACTCTTGCTTCTAAAAATAACTCTAGTTATAACTAGAGTTCTTCCAAGTCCAATTTATTTGTTCCTTTTACAGTCAATGGTATAATTCAAAAATTTTGCCAATCTAAAGATAATTCAAAGGTATTATGTCTTCTTTGGTCTTTCTTATTCATTGTCCTACTTTCATGTCTATTATGTAGATGACACAACTTCACTTTCATGAAAGTGCAGAGGACTTGAAATACTTGCTGCAGAGGTTCAAAGACTACTGCCTTCAGTATAAGTTACATCTTAATACCAAGAAAACAAAAATTATCCATTCCAAGGAAAAAAGCAACATCATGTTATATGGAGGAAAAAGAGAAATTGTCAGTGCCTCCATCTTGTTTGGATCCACAGTCAACACCCTTGGGTCCAGCAGCCAGGAAATTAATAAACATATTGCATTGGAAAAAACGGCTGTCAGAGCCCTTTCCAAAGTGCTAAAAAGCAAAGAAGTAATTTTGAAGACTAACGTGCACCTCATTCAAGCCATACTCTTTTCATTCACTTGCTTGCCATCTGAAAGTTGGACAATGAATAAGGATGACAGAAGAAGAATCAATATCTTTGAACTGTGGTGATGGAGAAGAGTGCTGAATATCTGATAGACAGCCAAAAGGACCTTGAAGGTAAGGACAGTGGAACTTCTGACATACTTCAAACATGTTTTTAGAAGGAGCCAGTCTTTGGAAAAGAATATTATGCTGGAAAGTTAGAGGATCATTAAGGAGAGAAAGGCCTTCAACAAGGTAGATTGACATAGTGATTCTAACGGTGGGTTCAAGGGTGTCAAAGGTGATGAAGATGGCACAGGATAAGACAGGCTTCAGACACTCGTTCACAAGGTCACTATGAGTTGTACTCAACTCGCTGGCTCTTAACCTCCCCAACTTTCATGTACAAATAAGATCAGTCTTATAAGGTCACTATTATAACTAATAAAATAAAATCTACAGCAGTGGGTCAGCTTTTACTTGATATAATTTATTCAGCATGTTTTGATAGCTAACTTTTGGGAACTGGTAAGGTTAGAAAACTTCCTTTGTAACTTAATACAAATTCTTTCATTACTTCTGCCATTTCAATAATTCAGCATACAAAAATATTTGTAGGAACACTCTACTATTAAATAGTACTAGAAATCTATAAGTTGTTGTTGTTGTAAAGTAGGAACTGAACCATAACTGACCCTTTGGTGGGTGACCAGAGGTAGGTAATTACACAGGAGATTTCCCATCTTTCTCCTGCAGAGCAGCTGGTGGCCTTGAACCTCCTGCCTTTGGGATTGCATCACAATTCCTTGTCATTGGAGCACCAGATCTCCTGAAATCTATATACAACATATTTATATCTCTATTATTATTGTTGTTGATTGACATCAAATCAATTAAGACTCAAAGCAACCCTATGAGCAGAAGACCTGAAGTCTTTCTGTAACTATTGTCATTTCTCAAAGTTCATAGGGTTTCCAGAAGCATGTTTAGAAAGTGGATGCCTCTCCTGCTTCTAATTTATACCTATAGCAATCAAAATTTTCAATTCTCTTTTGTAAGCCTCCTGGTTATTTAAATTCAGTGCTTCTCAGTCACATATATCAATATTTAACAAAGCTTGACTATTACTTTTGATCAAAGTCATAAAACATTTACATATTTCACTATAAAACAAAAGTTAGAATTTTCTACCATTCCAATTTCCAACTTGATAGTGGTCTCATGTGCATCACCACAGCAAATATTAATGAGGCTTTCTGTAGAAAAATATATGCTCACCTCTCAATACTCTCTTTAATTCTTCCCATATGACTGTGGAGACAGATCTGCAACCATTATTCAAGACTTCTATACTAGAATTTTCATCCTGACGTTTCTTATTTGTTTGTGCTCCCTTGGCAATTCCCCCTGAGACTAAGTCAGTGGAGGGTGAGCTACCAATAACACTATATGGTGTTTGACTGTAATTCTGTGGTATAGAGAGTGGTGGCAATGGTTGTAGTAAATTTTTCCAGATGTTTGCACCAGTATGGTTACATTATAGGAACCGTCATACATATACATATATTTCATTAGCCATTCTCATGGCCAGTAAAAGTAGAGTGCCACTGAGTTAGTGATACATATTCCTTTCACAGGGAAGCAGGGATATGAATTAGTATTTTCTGACTGATAATTTAATCTGAATAATTACCATTCATTTCTCCAATAAATAGACACACAAATGATTTGGTAGATCTCAGAGCAGTGTGTCAAAGTATACCCTTTCTAGTGGCTGGTATATATTACAATTAGTTTAAATCATTATGATTTTATTTATAAGAGAATGAAACCATGCCAGATCCTGTGACATCTTCATAATCACAGGTATTTTTAATCCATTTTCAAAGCTGTTATGATATCTCAGGAGGGTTTTCTCATTTTTGTTAACTTTCTACTTTACTAAATGATGTATTTTTTTAGCAATTGATCTTTCCTGATAATCTGTGTAAAGTATTCACATTAATGCCTCACTATCATAATTTCTTTTATTCACTTTTTTATTTCTTATATTACTCAACTTTTGTAACTGGTTCTCTTCTATTTGAGTCTTGCCGTATTAACAAATAAAGGGCCTTCACTGGGTAAAAATTTTACTTCACCCATAACGTTAAGATAAATTCTGTTTGAGGGAGCATCTCTTCCTCAGTTAATTTTTAGTTTCTTCCAGGCTCAGGGACTCATCTGGCATTATACACAATGTCACTGTTGGTATGTACTGTCACATTAGAACTGACTCATAGCTGACATTTATAGTTAATGTCATGAGAGGAGATTGCCTATCCTTTTTGCATGAAGCAGCTGGTGGCTTTGAATCGTGTCCCTTCTGGATCACAGCACAGCACTTGACACTAGGCCACCAGTGCTCCCTATGTACAATGGTATTCTGCTGTCTTTCTTAGAGGTTTTGTGGGCCTGTTATTTCAAAAGTCATAGTCACTTTCTGTCTATTTTAG